AAAAGAGTACTTAGACTTGGGCAGTGGAGGGACCCTAATGCGATAGGAGCAGCAGAACCTAGGCCCGTCATAGTAGAATTCGGAAACCTCAGGCATAGGGACAGCTTCTTAGCTGAAGCGGAAAAGATCCGGAGAACCTCGGGTGGCAATGTCCGAGTGACACCCGATGATCGGCCTAGGAGGTTGAAATCGGAAATCATTGCGTGAGTGGCGAAAGCGCATCAAGCAAGAGTCGCTGTGCCCAAACTGGCCGGTGAAATCATGGATCCAGGGGCCCTGAAACTCCACACGAAGGCTCAGGAAACTATAAGCCCTGACGGACCAAAACCGTCATATAGGGAGGNAAAACAGGCCCAAAAAACGGGACACAAGCTCGGGAGTAAGTCCCGAGGAGCCACCCTCCCCTAGCGAAATGCCGAACACTAGGGGAGGAGTCCCACTGCACATTGCATACACAAATGCGTGTAGCGTGGGAAACAAATGGTCCGAGCTCAAAGTAGAGGCAGGAAAATGCGGTGTTGTGGCGATCACGGAAACCTGGCTCCGGTCAGGATTAGACATCAAGCACCAATACCCGCCAGTCTTCTACGATTAACTCACCGATAGAATGGACGGCAGGATAGGTGGAGGGACCCTCATAATAGTGGCACATCATCTATACCAGAGCCACAGGGGTGATCTCACGATATCAACACCTAACATCCAGGTTTCCGGCTGTGTAGTGAGCGTCAGTCACACCAAACTGATGGTAATTAGCGTTTACAGAAGCTCATCATCCACGGCCAACGAGGATGAGGCGCTGCTCCCCACGCTATGTACGGCAGCTCGCCACAATGGGAAACTTCTGATCCTCGAGGATTTCAACACCCCAGAGATCAACTGGGGTGGAGAAAGTGTCCCATCGGGTTCCTTTGGCCATGCGTTACTGAACCTGCTGCACGATGAAGCCCTCATGCAACACGTAAGAGAGGATACGCGATGGCAAGATGGCAGCAAGCCTACCAGGTTGGACCTGGTAATAACGAAGGAGGCGAACGATATAGAAAGTATTCAGGTAATGGCCCCACTGGGTAAAAGTGATCATGCTCTACTTCATCTTACCATGTCCATCCGAGAGTCAACCGCCCCCGATAAGAGAGGACGAAATTATGAGGGAATGAACATAGCGCAGCTCCTACGAGATGCAAATACCATGTCATGGGAGTTGGATCCCAGTAAGTCATTAGACGAGAGTTGGAATCCCGTTAAGTCCAACGTACTGCAGCTCACGCATACTCATGCTCCGCTGAGAAACATTAGGAGAAACGGCAAGCCACAGTGGTGGAAGGCGCGAGGGCAGAATTCTCAGGCTCATAAACAACGAGTGTGGGGGAGACTGATAGCCTCAGGCAGCCACCACCGGTTCCTAGAATACGACCGAATGCGAAAGCGCGCAAAAGCGGTCCAGCGGGTATGCATGGTAGCACATTAAAGAAAGCTGGCGAGGAACGCGAAACTCAACCCCAAAGCCTACTTTAATTATGTCCTTTCCAAGTCCACAATTAGAGGGGCGGTCAGGGACGAACAAAACGAGGACGGAGTTAACGCAGAATCAAATGCTGAAAAGGCGGATATTTTCCGCCGCTACTTCGAAAGGGTTCACCAACCGGATAGAGGGGGGAACCCTCCACCCCCCGTAGAACGGGAAATACTCGCAATGGCCGAAGTCATCATCATCGGAGGTGAGGTAAAGGCCCAACTGCAGGCCCTGAAGAGCACCAAGGCAGCGGGACCCGATGATATTCACACGGCTATCCTAAAACCGCTGGCTGAGGTGCTTGCTGCACCACTAGCAAAGCTGTTTAACAGATCCCTCCAAGAGGGGCGGCTGCCGGGAGACTGGAAGGTGGCAAATGTGGTCCCCATACACAAAGGTGGGAATAGAAATCAAGCTGCAAATTATAGGCCGGTTAGTCTAACCTCAGTACCACTAAAAGTAATGGAAAGTCTACAGAGGGACAACACGGGTTTGTGAGGAGGAGATCTTGTCTCACGAATCTACTGGTATTGCTAGATGACATCACCGACAGGCTGGATAGAAAGGAGGGGGTGGAGGTCTGATACTTGGACCTTCAAAAAACCTTCGATTCAGTAAACCACAAGCTAATGCTCCTGAAATTTGGGACCTTTAAAATCCACCCACAACTGGTTGCATGGACGGAAGACTTCCTGAAGGGAAGGTCTTTCCATGTAAATATAGAAGGGTCCAAACCGAGGGAATGCAGGATAGTAAGTTGAGTTCCACAAGGATCAGTTTTAGGCCCTCTCTTATTCCTAGCCTATGTAAACGACCTGCCGGAGGGGTTGGAGAACCCAGCATTCATGTTCACTGACGACTTGAAACTGGTAGGCTCCCCCTCAAATCAGTCCATGCAGGGGGATTTGCACACACCCCTATACTGGACTGAAAACTGGGAGCTACCGCTCACCGTGGCCAAGTGTAGACAGCTCGTACAAATTGGAAACAGTGGCCCGGTACGGTGGATTCACACTGATAACCCACTAGAACTCCAAAGGAGTGACGAAATGAGGTACCTGGTAATTCAAATCATCAATAGCTTCAAAGCAGAGAAGCAGTGCATACTGGCGGCAAACAACGCCTTGTACCAACTGCTGAGAACTGTTTTCTCGCGGGATCCAGAGGTGTTGTTTCCCCTATATGAAGTGTATATGAGACCACACTTGGAATACCACATTCAAGCGTGGTTTCCATACCTGGAGCGTGACAAAAATGTCCTAGATGCGGTACAAGGTAGGTTCACGAGGTGATTCCCCCACCCAACTCGTCTGGCTGTGCTGAACCTATTCTCTCTAAAGCGGAGGCGCCTCAGGGCTGATCTGATCGAAGCCTTTAAAAGCATAAAAGGTATAACTGACACGGGTGCTTCACTGTTCACTACCAGTGACGACGTGGCATTACGTGGGCACTCTTTGAAATTGACAAAAGAGCGTTCTAGGCTGGAAGTTCGAGCATAGTTTCTAAAAAACCGTGTAGTAAACAGCTGGAACAAACTCCCAGAAGCAATTATCACCTCAACGAATGTGATAAGCTTCACGCACAAACTGGATGATTGCTGGCTGAGTATATTCTTTGATTTGGAGTGATCAGTGCAAGGTAAACCTTAGGCAAACCTGGAAGTCCCTATTGAAAGTTTAGACTTATATGTTGTTAGTTTTCCTATCACCCTATTCCTTTACGATAAATAACTTTTATTTTCTAGCATTTATGAAGTAAAACTCTTGCAATATCCAAGTATTCATTTACACCTTGTACTTACCCGCTGGTAGAGCGTGCCTGGCTTGAAGGTCTCTCATAGAAACCGGTTCAGGCGATGACCCTTTGTTGACTGAGGCCTACTTATATTACCAAGTCAAGTTAAGTCAAGAAGTGGCTTTAATTCTCCCTATAGGGGGTGATCATTCAGCTACTACACAATCACTCTTCTTTGGAAATTACATGGTAACAAAGCTTATGGTGATACGTTACATTGACAAAATGCCAATTTAACAAAGATTTTGTCTAAGAGTTCCAATGACAAGATCAGTATTGGTAAGAAACCGTGCCAGGTACGGTATTATAGAAAACTTGTATGTAGTGGTGTGTGCTGCTATATGTTTATACATGGGACGAGTGCTAGATGTGGAGATACATTGACTAAGATGAGGGTACAGTGGGTGAGATGGGTCAAGTAGTATTCTGGTAGAAAGTTTCTGACATGCACTAAGGTGCTGTAAAATAATAAACTGCACAACATACTCAGGGGATATGCCGCTGTATCGACATACGTGTTTGATGGATGTGCGTATGAGTTTGAAGTCTT